CTTAGTTTTTATGTGCATGAGTGTTTTGCCTACATGTATATGTTTGCCACATGCATAACTGGTAATTTCAGAGGTTAGAAGGTACTGGATCCCTAGGAGCTGGAGTTACCAATGGCTGTGAGCCACCATTTGGTGCTGGAAACTGAACCTGGATCATCTTCAAGAGCTACATGTGCTCCCCCACCCCACTTTTTTTTTTTTTTTTTTTTTTTTTTTTTTGGTTTTTCGAGGCAGGGTTTCTCTGTATTGTTTTGGAGGCTGTCCTGGAACTCACTTTGTAGACCAGGCTGGCCTCGAACTCACAGAGATCTGCCTGCCTCTGCTTCCCGAGTGCTGGGATTAAAGGCGTGCACCACCAACGCCCGGCCCCCACTTTGTTATTTTGAGACATTTCACTGTGTAGTCTTGGCTGGCTCTGAACTCACAAATCTGCCTGCCTCTGTCTCAGAAGCACTTGGATTAAAGGCATAAGTCACCATGGCTGGCCTTCGAATACTTTTTTATTTTATTTCTATTATCTTCCATACAGGCTTTCTCTGTTGTGGAATATTTGCAACTATGCAAAGATGTGTTGCATTTGTTTAATTATGTAAAGATGTGTTGCTGTTTTACCTTGCCTGCCTGTGGCACCTAATTGGTCTAATAGAAAGCTGAATAGCCAATAGTGAGGGAGGAGGTGTAGGCAGAACTTCTGGGCAGGGAGAGTAAGTAGGAGGAGTTTAGGCTCAGGAGAAGTGAAAGAGATGCAAGGGGCCAGCCAGGGGAAAGTAAGACAGAATGAAAAAAAAGTAAAACACAGATGAACTGAAACAGGTTAAACTGAGTTAAAAGAGCTAGTGGGACGAGCCTAAGCTAAGGCCAAGCATTCATAATTAATAATGAGCTTCTGTGTCTTTATTTGGGAGCAGGTTGGCAGCCCAAAGGAAATTCCAACTACACTCTGTAGCAAGCTTTCTCGCTGGACTTTCTTGGACCACCAGCCTGTAAATAACGACATGGAGACTTCTTAATTATGAAAGTTTGACCTAGCTTAGGCTTTTCTAGTTCTTACAACTTAAATTAGCCTGAGTCCATTAATCTACATTCTGCCACATTTCAGTTACCTCTGAGTCTCTGGCGCCCCCTCCATCGCCTCCTCCCTGAATTCTCTCTCTCCTGGGAAGTCCTGCCTAGTCTCTCCTGCCTAGGTATTGACCATTTAGTTCTTTATTAAGCCAATCAGAAGGCACCTAAGGTAAAGACACATCTTTACAGTATAAACAAACACTTCTGTAACATTTCTCTGCAGCCTTGACTGAAGGTGTGGCTGTAAAGATTTCACTAGACCCAAGATAAATGATAAATGGGTGTTTATTGGGGAACACTTACACAGATAAATGTAAAGAACCACGGGAGAGCATCTCTCCCCTTCCTAATGAATCTGCAGACCCAAGAGAAAGGACCCCCACAAAAAGAAGCCATGCCTCAAACTTCCCTTTCCCGATTCAGTCGGCCTGAAGCCACACCCAAAGGCGTGTGGCCACTGTTACAGGTTCACCAGCAAGACAGCTACACCTGGTTGTCCTGAAACTTGTTTACCTCGGTAAACCAGGCTGGCCTCAAACTCAGAGATCTGCCTGCTTCTGACTCCTAAGTGTTGGGATTAAAGGTGTGTGACACCACCACCTGGCTATTTGTTGCTTTTCTCTCAAATACTTGTATTTTAAAGTTTATTTAATATTTTTTAGTTTTTTAAAAGATTTATTTATTTATTATGTATAGTGTTCTGCCTGCATGTATGCCTGCAGGCCAGCAGAGGGTACCAGATCTCATTATAGGTGGTTGTGAGCCACCATGTGGTTGTTGGGAGTTGAACTCGGGACACCAGGAAGTCAGTGCTCTTAACCTCTGAGCCATCTCTCCAGCCCTATTTAATTTTATTTTATGTGCATTGATGTGAGGTTCTCAGATCCCTTGAAACTGGAGTTACAGACAGTTGTGAGCCACCAGAGCCACCATGTGGGTGCTGGGAATTGAACCCAGGTCTTCTGGAAGAGCAGCCAGGGCTCTTAACTGCAGAACCATCTCTCCAGCCCTCAAATACTTTTTTTTAAAGAGAAAGACACATATTTTAAAATGCTATCTAACTCAGATTTAACTTCACACTAAACTTTTTACACTGCTGACTCTTTCATCTACCAGAAGACCTTGGTTCCTAAAGCCATCACCTAAATACCTGCTGTCTTACAGAATCACACTTTCAAAATAGCAGTATTAAAATGACCTCACTTTAAACTTTAGTTAGGTTTAGTGTGCATGTATGTGTGTGGGTCCACGTGTGCTCTGGCGTGTATCTGGAGTCAGTTCTCTCCCTCTGCTATCTAAGGACAGAACTCAGGCTGTCACGCTTGTTAGAAAACACTTCATCGTGGGGCCAGCTCATCCGGCTTCAATTCCATTTCTGAGTTTTGTTCTCCCTAAACAATACCCCACTAAGGAGGTACAACAAAAACATTGTTAATTTAAAAACAATGTATTACATTTATTGGGGGGCACTATCACTTTACAAATATGTAAAGCACTGACAGGCTTCCAGGATCTTAATTACACACGACAGTGCAGGTGTCTCGTCCATGTCTTTCCTCTCCCACAAACACAGACACTTTCAGAAGTTGTGTTTGTTCTTGCAGTGTTTTATCTTTTGTTTTGATTTCAACTCTGTAACCCTGACTAGCCTTCAAGTCACAGAGATCCACCTGCTTCTGCTTCCCAAGTGCTGGGGTTAAAGGCATGTGCCACCATACCAGCCCCATTACTTATCTTTTAAATATAAGCAATTAGGTCAGGTATGAGGCACATTCCTGTAACACCCCCATCCCCTGGGGTGTGGGGACTCAGAGGCAAGAGGATCGAGAGTTCCAGGTTGGACTAGTGGATAGCTCAGCAATTAAAGTCACTTGACACACATGCCTGGTGACCAGAGTTCAATCCCTGGAATCCACCCAAAGGTGAAGGAGAGAGTGGACTCCACAAAGTTGTCCTCTGACTTCTATATAGACATCACACAACCACAGATACATACTTTCTTTCTTTCTTTTTTTTTTTTTTTGGTTTTGCGAGACAGGGTTTCTCTGTATTGTTTTGGAGGCTGTCAGTCCAGCCCAGCCTCGAACTCACAGAGATCCGCCTGCCTCTGCCTCCCGAGTGCTGGGATTAAAGGCGTGCGCCACCACCGCCCAGCCCCATACATTTTTTTTTTAAGGTTGCCCAGGTGTGTGATGGGACAAACCTTTAATACCAGCACTCAGGAGCAGAGGCAGGTGGATTTGTTGTGAGTTCAAGGCCAGCTTGATCTACAGAGTAAATTCAAGGTAGGCCAGGACTACTAAGTGAGACCCTACCTCAAAAACAAACAAAAGAACCGCAGAAGAATGTGGAGTAATTCTTCTAATTGAATTAATGATAGGCCTTTTAAAAGTTTAGAATATGATGGGTGGAGTTCCAGGAAGGTTCCAAAGCTACACAGAGAAATTCTGTCTTGAAAAAAATTTTTTAAATATAAACAATTGTGTTTATCGTTCACACAGAAGATGGCACACTATAAAACACTGGTCTCCTAGTTAGCTTCAGCTGTCAACTTGACATCTCAGCTATTTGAGGACATCTCAGGGGCTGGCCTCCATCAGGCTAGCCTGTGAGCATGTCTGTGTGGGGGGGGACGGTTCTTGATGCTAATTGGCAAAGGAGGGCTCACCCCAATGTGGGCAGTGCTATTTCTAGGCAGGCCTGGCCAGGCTGTTTCATGGCTGAACCATGACCTGGGAGCAAGCAGGTAAGCAGCTTTCTCCCACAGTTCCTGCCCTGACTTCCCTCAGTGATGAATTTATGACCCTAACCCAGGAAATTGAAGTCAAACAAACCCTGTCCTCCCCTAAGGTGTTTTTGGTCAGTGGTCTTTTTCTCTTTCTTTTTAATTTTAATCATCGCAATAGGAAAACAGCTAGAACAGGTTTGTCCCTTGAAATTCCTGTGACATTTAATGACTGCAACGAACAGAGAGATCTCTTCCTAGTCTGTCCTTCTATAACACTGGTAGCAAGTTTCTACACAGCATTCCATGACCCCCTACTTCCCAGGGCCGGAAACAAGTTTAGACTGACATCTGCATTCCCAGCAAATTGGTAAACACCAGTACCAGGATGGCACTCAGGACAAACTCTAAACAGATTACTGGAGTTTTATTAGGAGAGGGGCTGGAGGTTGCTACGCCAGGGTCAGGGGCAGGTTTTCTAGAAAGACACCTTTTGGTCAAATGTAGCAGAAATCAGCTTTCTCCTCCACCCCCCACCCCCGTGAAAGCGAGGTCAATAGTAAAGCCTTTACTTGTGGAGTTTAGTTCGGACTATATAAAAAGTTGCCCAGTTCCCAAATATTAGTCCAATAAACAGAAGACTTAAGGAAAATGAACCTGGAGCTCAGTCACAGATTCTTATTGTACCTTATTAGCAAACAGTAGGTGCAGAATAATAAAGAATGGGCGTTTCTGGAAGATGCTTACTGAATCTGTGTAACTAACGGGCCGGCCAACTGGTCCTCGCCTCTGATTGTGAGCCTGAGGATAGAGTTCATGCCGACTGCTGCCGGGACATGACTGACTGTTGTTGGGGGGGGGGGATCTGGAAGGCTTCGGTCCCGAACGAAGCGCCTATCATCCGGACGACTGCAGTTCTGGCCCTCAATCCTGGTCCCTGGCGACTTGTCTTGGGCCGTTGCACCCTCCTACCTGAGTTCAGGCCTGCTACTAGGCGGGGCGCTGCAGCCAGGTAGGCCGCGCCCTCTCCCCTTCGCCCGACCGAGAGCCCCGATCCTCACCGCCGGGAACAATGAGGTTCCGGCTTCTTTAAGGGAGATACCACCGCGCCGGTGGGGCAGGGGACGGCGTCCTCCCGGATGATCGCACTCAGTCCCGCATCACCGCCTGGGCCACTGTACCGCCCGCAAACGCGGCTGGGTGACCCGGACAAAAGGTGCAGCCTCCCATCACCGGCCGCACCACCCCGCGGGCCCGCCGCCCAGACCCGCCACCCGCGAGGAAGATGCGCGGGGCGTCCGGTCGCAGAGAACCACGCACTCCAGCCCGCCGCTCGGTAGGTCGGCAGGGGACGGGGTGGACAGCCCGTGTACTGCCGGCCCGGGGCAGTGGCCGCAGCTTCCCCAAAGGTCGGGGATTCGCACCCGCTGTGGCACTGGGCGACCGCCCTCTGCCGTCACCCCTGCGGGCCAGACCAGCAGTGGTCCGCCCTGCAGCGCGCACACCGCAGGCGACGCTCGGCTCTGCGCCGCACCCGAGCAACGGCGCCGGATCGCTAACGCCGGATTCGCGCAGGGCAGGCGCTCGCCCAGCAGGCGGCGCTCGGCGGCGCTCGGCGGCGCACGCGCACTACGGAAAGCCGGAGGGGGCGGGGCCCGGCGTGAGGGGGTGTGTCCGCGCACCACGGGGGCGCGCGCCGGCTTCTGACTGGAGGCCGCGGCAGCCGAGGCGCGAGCTGCCCGATAATGGCGGCCTGCAGAGCTCATGAGAGGGAGAAGCGGCGGCGGCTGCCCTGAGGTAAATCTGGCCCTTCGTCGTGGCACGGATGCCCTGCGGTCAGAACCGACCTCCCTGCATGTGTCGCTGTCCCCAGCAGGCCTGTTACAGACCTCTCAGCGGAGTCATCCCCGGGAAGGCCCGGCGCTGCCCCGGCCACCGGCCGGGACTGCGGCCTCCGTTCCCGCCCGGGCCACTCCCGGGTATCCGCCCCTGGTCTGCAGCCTCAGGGAGTTGAAGCGGCTGTGGAGCCAGCTGAAGGGCCACGGGAGGGTACCTCGGGGTTTCAAGGGACTGTCGCCGGGAGTGATCTTGCTGCTGGGGCATTGAGCGCGGCCGCAGCCTCTGCGGCCGCAGCACCCCTGGCCTCCCTTGTCCCTTTGCCGGCACCAGCAGGTGCATGTCCAGGTCGGCCGTGCCCCGCACCCGGGGACCATAGCAGGCGGGAAGGTCCAGGACAGGCCATTGTAAGGCACACAGGTTCTCGAAGGATGCTTCCCCGGGGCGTCTCTCCCTCCAGGATCCAAGGGATTTGATAGACACCTTCCTTCCTTATTCTGGAAGATGCCCCTCTCTCGGGGGACTATGGCAAGTGGGACACGGGGGACTGCTGTAGAGAAAAGAGCCACTTGGAAGCGCATAGTAACTGGCGATCGCGCAGAGCAGGGTCCGCCTGTGGCAGGAAATCTGACATTAGGAAATAATACAGTAAGAACTTGAAGGATTGGCGACCGGTTAAAGGAAGTAGCGCTCAAGGCAACCCCCAGAAGTCGTCATTTTCTTTTCAATCTGGCCTAGGAACTTAGTTGTTGTTCCCGGAGTCTCAGCTGCAGGGCCAGTCACTTTTTGTTTCTCTGATTGGGCAATGTAAATATAATCTCAGGTTACTTTTCCTGCCGGTGGTGACAGGCAGCAAGTGAGCATTTGAGGAGTGAGGAACCGCGCTGCAGGCTCTCCATTCAGAAGAACGTTCTGCAGGGCCTGTGCTTGCCTTTAAATTATTGATTTAGAACTCCAGAGAACTTTTCTCAGAGAATTTCCTTTGATGTATGAGATGCTCCCCCACTCTGACAAGAATGACCTGGAATTAAATAGCTATGTTAAACGATAATTTAAAAAAGTAGTTCTAGTGTAAGCAGCTTACTTCATTTTAAGAAAAGTTCTATAAAAACTTTGTGTTTATTTTGTAAGAAATAAATAACCAAGCATACTGGCACATGCCTATAACCCCAGCACTAGGAAGGTGGAGGCAGGGGGATCAGTAGTTTGGGATCATCCTCTGCTACATAGTGAGTTCAAGGCTAGCCTGAGCTACTGGAGACACTGTTTCAAACAAAACAAAAGTGATCTTGTTCATTTTTCAGTCCATAAGCTTACGCCAGGTATTTGTACTTCTAACCGTGAGGGATTTTTGCATTTCACTGTTTTTATTACCTTTCATAACAGTATCAACCTTAAGGAGATACAGATACATTGCTTCATTTTTTTCATGATCAGTAAATTAAAATGTTGGATTTTGAGTTTATTTGTTTGTTTGTTTGTTTGTTTATTGTTTTTTGAGACAGGGTTTCTCTGTGTAGCCCTGCCTGTCCTAGAACTCTCTGTGTAGATCAGACTGGCCTTGAACTCAAGGGCAGCCTGCTTCTGCCTCCTGAGTGCTGGGATTAAAGCCTGAGTGCTTGGATTAAAGGCTGGAGCCACTGCTATCCAACTTTGGGTTTATTTTTATCAATGACATACTCCAGCAGTTCCTATAAGAAGTAGTGTAGTTTAGGGTTTAAGTCATGGATATCTGAAACAAAGAGCTGCCTGGCCACTGGCTTTGTACTTAACCCTCTCTGTACTTTAATTTCCTCACTTCTAAAATGACCATTAAAACACCTACCCCTTACTACACAGATTATGGTTAGGTATTAAATGAATGTAGTATGAAGTAACTAGGCAGTGTCACAAACCTGCAGTCCCATCATTCCAGAGACAGGCAGTCAGGGCTGTTGAGATTGGTTCAGTGGGTAAAGTTATTTTCTGCCAAGCCTTACAATATGAGTTCAATTCCTGGAACCCACAAGGTAGAAAGAGAGAACTGACTCCCACATATTGTCCTCTGATTTCCACCACGCCGCAAGCATGCACACAAAATATGCAATACAACTTTTAAGGGGGGGGGCTGGAAGAAAGGCATAGTGGCACAAGCCTTTAATCCTAGCACTGGGGAAGCAGAGGCAGGCTTATCTCTGTGAGCTGGAGGCCAGCCAGGGTTCCACAGGGAGACCTTGTCCAAAATGGGTGGGTGGGTGGGTGGAGCCTGGAAAGAGAGTTGAGTAGATAAGGTAAGTTTGAGGAACTGAGTTTGGATCCACAGAACCCTTGTATAGCCAGGTATCCTACATGAGATGGGAGGTAGGAACAGCAGGTCTCCAGAAATTCACAGGCAGCTAGCCTGCCATGCTCGCTAGCAGTGACAGGAGAGCCAAGGTGTGCCATGGCATAGACATGCCTGCACTCACACACCAAATGATCTTAAAAACAAAAAAAGTCAGAACTGATAGCACTGTAACCATCACTTCTGAAGCCAGCCTGACCTATGTATCAAGCTCCAGGCCAGGGGAACTTAGCAAGACCCTGTCTCAACGACAACAAAAACTTTAAAAACTATTGTAAGGTATTTGAAATAGTTCCTAATACATGATAAGTGCTATCTGTTACCTTTTTTTATTATTGGTAGATTCGTCCAAGGTATAGATAGATATCTTTAAAGTATCTGGAGGTTGGAGAGATGGCTCAGAGGTTGAGTACTGGCTGCTCTTTCAGAGGTCCTGAGTTTCAAGTCCCACCAACCACAATGGTAGTTTACAACAGTCTGTAATGAGGTCTGGTGCCCTCTTCTGGTGTTCAGGAATACATGCAGACAGAACACTGTATATATAATAAATAAATAAATCTTAAAATACTACAGTGAAATAGTTAGTTAGATCATGCATAAGAATACAAGCCAGTAGGTACACCTAATTTCAACAGAGTGCTTTGTTGATTTTTCCAGAAACCTCGGCCTTGAAGATGGTGAGTAGCCAGCCAAAGTACGATCTAATACGGGAGGTAGGCCGAGGTAGTTACGGTGTTGTGTATGAAGCAATCATCAGAAAGACCTCTGCAAGAGTAGCAGTGAAGAAAATTCGATGCCACGCACCTGAAAATGTTGAACTAGCCCTTCGAGAGTTCTGGGCACTAAGCAGTATCAAGAGCCAGCACCCAAATGTGATTCACTTGGAAGAGTGCATTCTGCAAAAAGATGGGATGGTGCAAAAGATGTCCCACGGCTCTAATTCTTCCCTTTATTTACAGGTATGTGTCACTGGGTAGGAAATGGACATAATGTTGGTCGGCAAGAGGAAATGAAAAGTGTCAGATGAACTCCCTTAAAAGGTAGTGCAGGCAGACGTCTTCAGAGGATAGGGGAGATATTTGCTTTAAGCCTGTGCTGCACATACCTAAAAATAACATAAGCCACCTGTTATGCCTGGTACTTGCCAGTCTGCGTAGGAATAGGACAATATGGGAACTAGAGGAATAGGACAGTTTGAGACTAGCATCAAAGTTCAATTCCTGGAAACCAATTCTTTGGAAAATAAACACAGAAGACAGGGAAAAACACCACAATCAGTTACAGTCACACCCATAGGTAATTGGACTTCTCTTTTTCAGAAGTCTAAACATAATAAACCTTAGATGAGTTTATCGGTATATGTCAGTAATCCTAGGACTTGGAAGGTAGAGGCAGGAGGCTCAGGAGTTTAAGACTGGACTCACCTGTATATTGAGTTCACAACATGCCTAGACTGGAATCATGAGTTCAGGACAAAAGTTGTCCTCTGACCACCACACACACACATAAAATAAATAAATGTAATTTAACAATTGAAGATAGTAACACAACAAAAACTACGTTTTATGTTTCTGAGAAGGCTCAGAGAGTAAAGGAGCTTGTTGCCAAACCTGATAACCTGAGCTGTTTCCAGGTCCTGTATGGTAGAAAGAGGGAGTGGACTCCTGAAAGTTGTTCCCTTACCTCCAGAGTTTGCTGTAGCACCACACACACATGAAATTAATAATGAAAAAAAATTAAAACTATCTTCATTGTTGTTTACCTTTCTAAAAGTACTTAAGTTACAGAGATTAAAAAAATTTTCGGGCCCAGTAGTGGTGACGCAGGCCTTTAATCCCAGCACTTGGGAGGCAGAGGAAGGCAGATCTCTGAGTTCGAGGACAGCCTGGTCTACAGAGCTACACAGAGAAACCCTGTCTCTGTCTCGAAAAAAACAAACAAACAAACAAAAAATTTTTGGAGCAAGGCATTAGTGGAGGATGCCTTTAATTTCAGCACACCAGAGGCAGAGGCAGGCAGGCCTATGGAGTGAGTTCCAGGACTGTTACGTTACACAGAGAAACCTTGTCTCAAAAAAGATTGGGCCAGGTGTTGTTGGTGCAGGCCTTTAATCCCAGCACTCAGGAGGCAGAGGCAGGTGGATCTCTGAGTTCGAGGCCAGCCTGGTCTACAGAGCGAGTTCCAGGACAGCCTCCAAAACAATACAGAGAAACCAAAAAAAAAAAAAAAAGGATTGGAGAATTGCTGTCTTTTTTTTTTTTTTTTTTTTTTTTTTTTGGCCAGGGCTAGAGATTGAGCCTAGGGTCTAGGGTATACTCCATAAATTATATCCCTCCTAAACCTTGTCCACTTTGCATTGACTTGTAAAGATTAAGGTATGCAATCCTTGTGAATGGAAAAGTGAGTTGTTAGCATTAACTTAGTTGGAATCTGCATCTAGCAACTGTAACAATGAGGTATTGCTTAGTACTTGGAGTTCCTAACTATGAAGTACCAGATTTGACTAGGTGATTTTCATATTTAAATTGCCTTTTTAGTAAATCTCTTTCATTCTTTAAAGCTGTAGTGACCTGTATTTGATTTACATCACTTGGTGCTATCAGAACGACTTGAAGTAGATAATCATCTTTCCTAGTAGCTGTTTGTTGCATGTGGTGATCACTTCTGCCTTCCACGGGCATTGTCAGAGACACAGATGATGCTGAAGCAAGGTTTGGCTGTAAGAACTCAGAAATAGCCGGGCAGTGGTGGCGCACGCCTTTAGTCCCAGCATTCATGAGGCAGAGGCAGGTGGATCTCTGTGAGTTCAAGGACAGCCTGGTCTACAAAAGCTAGTTCAAGGACAGCCACAGAGAAATCCTGTCTCGAAAAACCAAAAAAAAGTCAGAAATAGGTACCTGTGTTGAAATAAAATAGTCTTTTCTATGGATTTATAAATTAGCCAGATATTTATGTATTTGTTTGTTTGTTTATTTATTTATTGAGAGAATTTCATTCTGTGTCCCTGGCTAGCCTCACACTTAGAAAGATCCACCTGTTTCTGCCTCTGAGTGCAGGGATTAAAGGCATGTACTACTTCACTCAGCATAGTTTACCATATAGTTATCAATAGAATTAGATCAAAACAATATAATACAGTATAACCAATACATAAATCTATAATATAACCAGAAAGTTCCTATGCATGGTCTTTATTATCTGTATAAATTTTCATTTTCTATGTTTTTCTAGATATGTTCTTCCTTGTTGTTAGTTGGGATCAATTCCTGATAGCTAAAAATCCTTATCCAGGAGAAAGTATAAAAGTTATATGCACAAAGACTTTGCAGCCTCCGTCTGTGTGTTTCAGACTGGTGGCATAGCTGGTGTAGGAACATACACTAGGGAAGCAGATATGTCTTGGAGCTGAAGAACTATGAACTGGCAGGGTGTGCTGTACATAGTCCTAACACATATGAGACTTAAGAACGATTGTCACGACTTCAAGGCCATCTTAGGCTACATAGTGAGTCCAAGGTCAGCCTGAGGTACAGAGTGAGACCCTATCTGGGGAGTTAAAAAAGAATTAAGTTGGGCTGTGGTGCTACACGCCGCTAATGCCAGTACTCAGGAGACAGAATCAGGTGAATCTTTGTGAGTTTGAGGCCAGCTTGGTCTACAGAGCCAGTTTCAGGACAGCCAAGGCTACACAGAGAAACTCTGTCTAAAAAAAACTTTAAAAAAATTATAATCCCAGCACTTGGGAGGCAGAGGCAGGCGGATCTCTTTGAATTCAACGCCAGCCTGGTCTACAGAGCAAATTCCAGGACAGCCTCCAAAGCAATACAGAGAAACCCTGTCTCAAAAAACCAAAATAATAGTAAGAAGAAGAAGAAAAAGCAAAAACAAGACAAAGAGTTAAATCTTAGGCTGGCAAGATGGCTCAGTGAGCAGAGATGCTCAGAGATGCTTCAGGCCTGGCCCTGAGTTCCATCCACAAGGTGGGAGGAGAGAATCAGCCTCCAGAGTTACCCTCTGACACATGTGCTTGAATACGTGAGAATGCACACATACGCAATTAAATCCATGTAAAAAATATTGGGTGAATATTTGTTGCTGTAAAACAGAACATCGTCAGCGTTTTCCACAATTGATACTTTTATTTTTATGAACATCAGTGGTGAGAAGAGTGTTTCATCTAAATAGGTCAGTACAAAATAGTATACATAAGTTTAGGCAAGTCAGAAATTGTTCAAAATTCTGTCTAACAGCTTTCAGTGATCCTTCTGTAGTGCTGGGATTACAGGTATATGCCACCACATCCACCTCTCTCTCTCAGTCTCACTGTATAACTCAGATAAAACTCAGGCAAGCCTTAAATTTGCGGTCTCTTGAGCTAGGTAGGTGTAGTGACGTACACTTGTGATTTCAGCACTGACGAGGGAAGCAGGCGAGTCAGAAGGTCAAGGCCAGCCTTGACTATACAGTGAGTTTGAGGCTTTTGGGAACTATTTGAGATAGAGAAATTAAAAAAAAAAAAAAGAGGAAATAAAGCATTACCCAAATTAAGCATTATACCAAAACATAACCCATTGATAGACTGCATTGGTACTTGCTTGCTGATTAATGGCAGTAGAAAAACACCAGAAGTCTTTGCTTTCCCCAGTAAAACCAATGTTACTATAAGAGCAGAGAACTTTGTATACATAGTAAAAACGCTGTAATTTGGTTTTGAATTAATTTTTGGTAACTGAAAATTTGTTAAACCTTTGACTGTTTGTGTGTGTGGCCCCTACTTTCTGTGTAAGAGACCCTTGCTTTAGCGGTTGATGGTGACTTTAATCCCAGCATTCAATAACAGAGACAGGCAGATCTCTGTGAGTTCAAGGCCAGCCTGGTCTATAAAGTAAGTTCCAGGACATCCAAGGACACACAGTAAAACCCTGTCTCGAAAAACCAAGAAGAAAGAAAACCTTACCTGGCATGTACAAGACCCTGGGTTTAATTCCCAGCATTGCAGAAACAAAATAAAACTGCAGATTGACCTAATTTTCTTTCTTTTATTTTCAAGACAGGGTTTCTCTGTATAGTCCTGGAACTCTCTCTGTAGACCAGGTTGGCCCTAACTCACAGAGATCCACCTGCCTCTGCCTCCCAAGTGCTGGGAATAAAGGTGTGCACCACTACCACCCAGATAAAATATATATATTTTTTTAAGATGTACAATCAGGTGTAGTCCCAGCACTGGGGAGACAGAGGCAGGCATATCTCAGAACTGGAGGTCCACCTGGTCTACAAAGCAAGTTTCAGGGCAACCAGGGCTACACAGAAAAACCCTCTTAAAAAAAAGACTTATTAATTTTTAAGTATGTTTGTGTGTGGGGAGGTATGTATGTGTCAGGGCAGGTGCCCATAGAGTCCAGGGAAAGTATTGGATCCCCCAGAGCTGTCACTGCAGGCAGCTGTGAGGGACTGACTTGGGTGCTGAGGACCTCAACTCCAGTCCTCTACGGCTCGTAACTGCTGACCCATATTTCCAGCTTCCTTTAACCTTCCTATAGTCAAATTGTGTAACAACTTTTTCTCCTACTCCCTCTTCACAGCTTGTAGAGACTTCATTAAAAGGAGAAATTGCCTTTGATCCCAGAAGCGCCTATTATTTGTGGTTTGTGATGGATTTTTGTGACGGAGGAGACATGAATGAGTATCTGTTGTCCAGGAAGCCCAATCGAAAGACTAATACGAGCTTTATGCTGCAGCTCAGCAGTGCTCTGGCTTTCTTGCACAAAAACCAGATCATCCACCGAGACCTGAAGCCTGATAACATCCTGATTTCTCAAAGCAGGTTGGACACCAGTGACTTGGAACCCACGCTGAAAGTGGCCGATTTTGGTCTAAGCAAAGTTTGTTCAGCATCTGGGCAGAACCCAGAAGAACCTGTCAGCGTAAACAAGTGCTTCCTTTCCACGGCATGTGGCACGGATTTCTACATGGCTCCCGAAGTGTGGGAAGGGCACTACACAGCAAAAGCTGACATCTTTGCTCTGGGAATTATCATCTGGGCGATGCTGGAGAGGATCACTTTCATAGACACAGAGACAAAGAAGGAGCTCCTGGGAAGTTATGTAAAGCAGGGGACCGAAATTGTGCCTGTTGGGGAGGCACTTCTGGAAAACCCCAAAATGGAACTTCTCATCCCTGTGAAGAAAAAGTCTATGAATGGACGAATGAAGCAACTGATTAAGGAAATGCTGGCTGCAAACCCTCAGGATCGTCCGGATGCATTTGAACTAGAACTCAGATTAGTCCAAATTGCATTTAAAGACAGCAGCTGGGAAACGTGACTACTGCTCGCAGTCATCTTAGATGATATGCTGCTTCTGAGTCAACGGTGATTCGACATTACGTGGCCGAAAGGAAGACGGAAGTTAGACTTCACTTTCTAAGGGGTTAGGTTTTATTGTGGGGTAATTTTTTTCTCTCATTTTTCTTACTCCATGCAGACCATTTTATTGTATGTTTTGAATGTGTATTACCAATGTGGGTATAAAACATTTTTTTAATGATCATTGGTAAAAGTTTGACAGAAAAAATTCTCTTAAGGGCCAAGCAGAGAAACAAGTCCAATTTTCTGGAAATATGTCTTTAAGTATTTTAGACATTCCTTGTCAGTATTAGGCATTTCCATGGAAGAAGAGGTTTGCATGCTGGTAATGCAACCTTTGAAGCTTTGTAAAGGAAACATATATGTATATATTTATGTATATGTAAGTATGTGAATGTGTGCATTTTATATTCCACATGAAGAAAATGCCACTTCTGTTTAAATTATTTGATAGAGGTTTGGGTTTGTGAGATTTGCTGGTGAAATTGGTGATGAAAACTACACAAAACCACCCCTCATCTTCCCTGCCCTACCCATACTGGAAACATGCTAAGGGTGTTTGTTTGGTTTTTTTTTTTTTTTTTTTGCTTTTATTTTTGTTTTGTTTTTCCCAAGTATACATCTCTCTTTAAAGGCATCATTTTGGATGATCTAAAATGACTGGTTAAACATAATCGAAGCTAAGCAGTTCCAAACTGGTGGAGTACGTCTGAGCTCTCCAGGGCCCTGTAGCTCTTTGAGTTGAATTAGTCATTCAGTCACATGGTAGAAGGTTGGTTGGCAAGGATGCCAATGGCTCAGTCATTACCTTTAGGTAACTGAGCATTTGTTTAACTGATTAAACAAATGCACTGGAACGTGTGTGCACTTGAGTGTCTGCCATGACCTAAGGATGGTATTCTTCTGTTCTGAAAACATTGCTTTACACGACTGTAATACTTGATGCATTAATTTGGAGTTTAAGACTTTTTCTAAGTCTCAGCATAAAGTTGAAGGAACCAAATGAGCTCACCCTCCAGTTGCTGGCCCCGCTGTGGCTTCCTGTTGGATCACTGGAGTCCCTGTCACTTTGGCACTGATGCTGTCTTCTCTTGTCTCCTGTGAGGCGGTAATGGGACTGGTAATCACTGTCATAAATACTGATTGCTTTTTTACAAAATGGGAGATGATGCAGTTTGGCAGATGGATAAAATTCTATGCCATCAACTGCTTTTAGTAGAAAAGTTGTCGGTTTCTTTTGATCACTGGTGTTGTCTGTCAGAAAGCAAGAGACTCTTAACTCCTCCTGAAGTGAAATTCAGGCGTGCTCATCTCCAGATTGTTCATGCTAATGCAGGAAATTGAGAAAAGGAGTCTGTCCTAACCAGAGTACCAGTCTCTATTCTAGAGCTTTATAAAGCTCTAGACCACACCTCCAGTGCTGAGGTAGAACCTTGGGCCTTGGGCATGTTAGGGAAGCAGTCTGACCTGACCCCGCTGGGATCTTTCTACAGCACTAAGATGCAAAAGTCAAAAGAATACCGACATACTGACATCAGCACTTGTCATCGTCTCCTCAATGCTTGAACCTCCACTCCTTCACAGGGCTATGTGTAGCTCAGGGGAAAGCACTTGCCTGGCATGTAGAAAGCCTGGATTCAGTTCCTAGCCCCCTAAAATCAGTAAGTCAATAGATAAAATGTGTTCAGAGGGTAATAAGAGATAACACATCAAAAAATGGAACATGTAAAACTTCCAGATTGAGTAAATCTGGAAGCTTAAAAACATGAACTAAAAGACTATTAAAATTTCATCAAACGAAAAAGTCACACACACACCTCATACCACTTGCAGACTATTTATTTCTAAAATAGAGATGTACTAGTCCTTCATGGTAATTGATCCTCTGGGCCACCAAGTTGACACAGATCTGAGCAGGAGACTGAGTTCCAGGAAATTCGAAAAAGCCCCATTATAATATAGTATCAGTGATTTGGCACTCCATTAGATTGATGTGTAATGTATGCCAACAGTTCATTTGCTCTACAAATACCTGTGCACTTGAAGCCCCAGTGTTGAGCACATAGCTTTTGATCCTGTCTCCTTGAAAATAATGGTGATTTGTTTTGTCTTTTGTTTTGGTTGGTACTGGGATCATACCCAGAGCCTTGCGTGTGCTACACAAAGACTTTACCACTGAGCTACATATCTAACCCCAGTTATAATTTATTTTGAAAGATTTTTACCTGTGAAATACAATTCTTTCCTTTATTAGAGGTAAGGGTGTGGGGTGATCAGGAAATTTCTTCCAGAATGTTCTCAAGTCATTGTATTCTAAAATAGCTTATGATATCAACAAAAGGATAGTAATTTCTTAGTTCTTTTTCAGTCAGAGGTATTTATTAAGTACCTACTGTGTGCTCAGCACTAAAGTTTAGTTGATATGACAACAATTTAAGATTGAAGTTGTGGGGATGCTGGAGGGATGACCCAGCAGTTTTTAAGACTTGCTGCTCTTGCACCCATGTTGGATAGCTCACAGCCACCTAACCTCTAGCTCCGGGGTACCCAGTATCCTCTTGCTTCTGTGGGCACACACACACACACACACACACTAATAAAATAAAATAAACCTTTTTTAAAAAAAGTGCATTTAGCCATGCACTTTCTCCAGTCACCTGTAAGAAATAAAGATAAGTGATACTTGGAAATTTTGGGTATTTGCTAAAAGAAAAATGCAATCAAGAAATTGTGCACAGTGCCTTGCCCATAATAGGTACTCAATAAACAGTTATTCCTCATAGTCTGTTGCCATGGTTTCTGGTGTCTTATGAAATTTGTCTTAATTGAAAAAGACCAAATATTTCAAATAAAGCTTATAGGCAGCTGTGTCCAGTCACTGTAGGGTTGTACAGTTAGTTCCTAGGATGTTATTTTGCACTAGTTGTCACTTAGAAACATGGGGTTCTGTAGATTCTTGGTGCTAAGGGATACTTTGTCATTTTGATGAAGTAAGTGTTAAGTGTCAGATAAATAGCACAGAATAGTTCTTTCTGCAGGTCTGGGTTTTTTGTTTTGTTTTTCTTTGTTGTTTTTAATTGTAAAATGTTACCAATCAAACTATTGTAGCAGCTACAAAATAATTCACCAGCATGACAAAATAGTCAAAAAAAAAAAAAGATGTCATAGGCACATCAGAAATGAAAGCAACTTTAAAATTTTTCTTTTAAAATTGTCAAATATATTTTATGAAGAATTTATAAGGGGGAAAGTATTGTAATTTATTGTTCATGAGGTTTCTTTTTTTTAATAAAGTGAATTTCAACAAGATAACTTTGGAAGTTCTTGCTGCTTTGGTGACTTTGGGAGTTGTGCAGTGTGATAAGTCACAAGTGTGAGTTGATGTACACCGTGGAATAGTATTCAGACCAGTGTATGGAGTAAATGGTTCTCTCGTGGAAGCTGTTGCTGGGGAAGGTGATTGGATTACGGGACTTTCAACATTTCGAGTTCTCTGAAACCATAATGCTATTTTTGCTTTGTATAAGAGAAATATGTATTGTTTAAGATTCTTTTCTGAGGTTGGTATTTTCTAGGTATGAATGTTTTATGTCTGTGCACCATTCATGCAGTGCCAAAGGAGGCCAGCTAGGGTGTTGGATCCCTGGAACTAGAATTACAAGTCATTGTGAACCTCCATGTAGTTGCTGGGAATTGAACCCAAGGTGTTCTGTGAGAGTGTCAGGGACTTTTAACCACTGAACCATCTCTTTAGCCCCAGAGATTTTTTTTTCATTTATCTTATTTCATTCGGTTGAGTATTCAATCCAGATGTGATTGTTTCTATTAAAAGTGGGTGCGATTTCAATTGTTAGCATGAGGCAATGGCTTCTAAAGAAGTCATAGGTTTAGCTGAGAGTGACGGCCAGAGCCTTTGATCCCAGCACTTGGGAGGCAGAAGTAGGCAGTTGTCTCAGAGTTTCAAGCCAAACAGGTCAACATAGTGAAACCTACCCAGAAAAAAAAAGTCATTGTCAGCCTTTATTTTCCAAGACTGGGTTTCTCCGTGTAGCCCTAGCTATCCTGGAACTATCTCTGTAGACCAGGCTGGCCTCAAACTCACAGAGATGTCTCTGCCTCCAAGTGCTAAAATTTAAAGGCAAACGCCACCACCGCCCGGCCTCAGCCATTATTTTTTCTTTGCCTTTGTAAAATGTATGATTGCCTGAGCATATGGTCTCCCTGATGGCAAGTGGGACAACTAAGTATCAGGAAACAAGGAGTCCCTGGTCACCCTAGACTGCCTCCTCCTGCAGCTAGAGCCTCCACAGATGGACTTTGCTTCTGCTTAGAGATTACCTTTCTAAAATTCAAACTATAAAGTGTAGCTATTTGCACTTCTGTGACCCTTTGCAGTTTACAAAGCACGGTCACGTGACACTCAGACTGGGAGTGGGAGCTGACTTCCCAGTGAAGAACTGAAAGTAGAGACCGCTGGAGACGGTGGTCTCACCAGGACTGTGCAGCCGCCTAATCTCTGCCTCCAGTTGGCGTTCCTCTCGCAGCAAAGCTTTATCTCTCAGACGGAAGGAACACAACCTTACTCTGGCCTTCTTTCAAATTCAAATATTGCTGTCTTGATCAGCCAATCACAGACGTCTTCTATAAAGTGCCCTGCAGTGACGGTTTGTGGGTAGGTAGTAACTCCGACAGAGAAAACCTGCAGAGGCCACACCTCTAGGAAGCAGAGGGCGTCTTTTAAAGGTGGTGCTTTCACCCAAAGAGTTTTCATTGGTTAGAACTGAATTGTTTAAAAAAAAGAAAAGAAAAAAACATTTAGGGCTTCGCACTTCACTCTTTCCCTGTTCAGCCTGGTATTTCAAGCTTAACCTGTTTTGAGCTGAAGTTAAGCAATTGGTATTACAGAAGCTGTCGTGGTCTAGCAGCTGAAAGATCCGGTATGGAAAACCAGCTTTTGCAAATAGACACATAAGTAATTCGTGTCATTCGGTAAGCGGCTTCATTTTGAGCCTCAGTTCCCAAAGCTGCAAGGTGAAATGATGTTTCCATTTCATTATTTTTGAAGGGGCAGAGATAGTGCCTGGCATAGCACCTGTATGTTGAGTTCTTCAATGGTCATGCATTCTAAATTTCAATGACAGCAGCCAGGGTCGCATAGTGTGACCCTGTCTCAACAACAAAAAACCCACTGCAATAAAGTTTGGAGGGGATGAAGGGAGGAATCACAGCAGACTTCAGATGTAGCTTTGACTGCCCCCCCCTCACACACACTTTGTGAGAGCCTGGTGAAGGCACTGCCCCCTTTCCTCAGAAAAATGTGCACCTATAATTTCTTTTTTTTTCTTTTTTCTTTTTTTTTTTTTTTTGGTTTTTCGAGACAAGGTTTCTCTGTGGCTTTGGAGGCTGTCCTGGAACTCACTCTGTAGACCAGGCTGGCCTGGAACTCACAGAGATCTGCCTGCCTCTGCCTCCCGAGTGCTGGGATTAAAGGCGTGCGCCACCAATGCCCGGCTGCCTATAATTTCAAGGGGATACAGATCTCAAGAGTCCACCTGGACCCAGAGTTGAGGAACCCTGGGCTTTGGGTGTCGTCGGCTTTCCTAACTAGAGTCCGTGCACCTACAGATTCTAGTAAGCCTGCATGACTTTGATTCTTTTTTTTTTTTTTAACCAGATTTAACTTTATTTTATGTGCATTGGTGTGAAGGTGTCAGGTCCCCTGGAACTGGAGTTGCGGACAGCTGTGAGCTGCCAACAGTTTCTGTCACTATGATAAAAACACCGTGACCAAAGCAACTCAAGGAGGAAATGGTTTGTTCCAGCTTACACTCGCAGGTCATAGTTCACTAGAAAGGGAAGTCAAGGCGGGAACTAAAGTATAAGCCGTGGAGGAACACGGGCTTGCCCCCCATGGCTTGCTCAACCTTATCTATTTATTTTTTATTTACATTTAATTTTATTTTTTGAGACAGTATCTTTCAATGTAGTGTTGGCTGACTGCCTGGCTGCCTAAAATACCCTATATAGACTTGTAGACTAGGTTGGCCTCAAACTCACAAAGATCCACCTGCCTCAGAGTCTGCATCTTGAGTGCTGGGATTAAAGGTATTGCCACCATTAGTGACTCAGCCTGCTTTCTTTCTTTCTTTCTTTCTTTCTTTCTTTCTTTTTTTTGTTGTTGTTGTTGTTGTTTTTCGAGACAGGGTTTCTATGTATTGTTTTGGAAGCTGTCCTGGAATTCACTCTGTAGACCAGGCTGTCCTCTATCTCACAGAGATCCACCTGCCTCTGCCTCCCGAGTGCTGAGATTAAAGGCCTGCGCTGCCAAGGCCCCATCAGCCTGTTTTCTTATTCAATGCAGGATCCCTGGCCGAGAGGTGACACTGCCTACAGTGAACCCTCTTCCCCATTCAATCATTGAGTAGGACAAGAGTCTACAAATTTGCCTACAAGCCAATATTATGAAAGCATTAAGATTCCTTCTTCCCAGGAGGCAGAGGCAGGCAGATCTCTGTGAGTTCGAGGCCAACCTGGTCTTCAAAGAAAGTTCCAAGACAGTCTCCAAACCTACAGAGAAACCTTGTCTAGGAAAAAAAAAAAAAGAAGAGAAAAGAAAAAAGATTCCTATGCCAGGCAACAGTGTAACAGTATTGCACACCCTTTTATTATTTTTTAAAGATTTATTTGTTTATTATGAACACAACATCTTGCCTCTATGTATGTCTGCACACCAGAAGCGGACACCAGATCTCATTACAGATGATTGTGAGCCACCATGTGGTTACTGGGAATTGAACTCAGGGCCTCTGGAAGGGCAGTCAGTGCTCTTAACCTCTGAGACATCTCTCCAGCCCTTATTTTTTTTTTAAGATTTATTTATTTATTATACAGTGTTCTGTCTGCATGTGTCCCTGAAGTTGAGAAGAGGTCACCAGATCTCATTACAGATGGTTGGGAGCCATCATGTGGTTCTGGGAATTGAACTCAGGACCTCTAGAAGAACAGCCAGTGCTCTTAACCTCTGAGTCATCTCTCCAGCTCAGTGCACACTCCTAATCCCAGCACTTGAGAGGCAGAGGCAGGCAGATCTCTGAGTTGGTAGCCTGTAGATGGAAGTTTCCATCCTGCCTGGTGCTTTGGTCATTTAGTCCCAAATAAACAGAGGCGTATATTAATTGTAAACTGTTTGGTCGATGGCTTCTTATTGATTAGCTCTCTCTTAATTACTAAGCCATTTCTGTGCATCTCTACATGGTCCAGGCTTACCGGTGATGCCCAGGTCTCTTGCTTCCTCAGCAGCTATGCAGCATCTCCCTGACTCCACCTACTACCTTTCTCTATCCCTGTTTGGATTTCCTGCCTGGTTGAAACAGCTTTATTCATCAACCAGTAAGAGAAACATATATTCACAGCATACAGAGGGTATTCCCATCAGAGACCAGTCTGGTCTACAGAGTGAGTTCCAAGACAGCCAGGGCTACAAAAAAGCCAAAAAAAAAAAAAAAAAAAAAAAAAAAAAAGAAAGGAAGGAAGGAAGAAAGAGATTCCCTCTTTCCAGATGTGTCTGGGTTTATGTCAAGTTGACAAAAACCAACCAGTACAATATTATAAAATAACCTATGATCTTCAGCCCCAAAGGGATATGCTTGGATCCATAGAACTAACGTGATAGAAAAACATATCAGGGGGCTGGAAATATGGTTCAGAGGTTAAGAGCACTGACTGCCCATCCAGAGGTCCTGAGTTCAATTCCCAGCAACCACATAATAGCTCACAACCATCTTCATGAGATCTGGTGCCCTCTTCTGGCCTGCAGGCATACATGCAGGCAGAACACTATACAAAACAAATGCATAAATATAAGGAAAGAAAAGAAAAGAAAAACATATCAGTGGCATAGCATGGATTTCAACCTACATGAAGAACCTTTTGGGAGCTGTACATGTATGAAGTGTTTTTACCCCTTTTGTATTTATTATAGTCCAACGAAGTCATTTAAACTAAAATCAAAACAAAGGAACCCTGATGGCCAAGGTCCAGCCATCAGGATTTCTGCAGGTAGAACCCTTACACTAATAGTTTAAAGTATTCTGATGTGCGAAGGGGGTAAAATATTGCTACTGACGCCACGTGCAGCAGCACATACTTGTGCACGCCTGCATCCTTCCCTCTCCAGGCAGGAAAGATACGGTGAGTTCAAGGACCAGCTTGAGAGCCACAGCTCCAGAAACAAACAAGACAACAGCTGAAGAGATGGCTCAGAAATTCAGAGCACTGGCTGCTCTTCCAGTGGACCTAGGTTCAGTTCC